TGGGGTGGGGTGTGGGTAGGGGTGTGGAGGGCGCTGGTCGCAGGAGTGAGGCTGTGTGGCAGCAGCCTCTGAGGTCAGGCCTTGTCCCTGGCACGGGTGGCCAGGGCATCAGCCCAGGAGGGCAGGGGAGTGGGCTGGGCAGGGGACGTGGCCAGTGGGGGACATGGCTGGGCAGGGGATGTGGCTGGCGGGGGACATGGCTGGGCAGGGTACATGGCTGGGCAGGGGACGTGGCCAGTGGGGGACATAGCTGGGCAGGGGATGTGGCTGGTGGGGATGTGGCCGGCGGGTGACATGGCTGGACAGGGGATGTGGCTGGCGGGGGACATGGCTGGGCAGGGGACGTGGCCAGTGGGGGACATGGCTGGGCAGGGGATGTGGCTGGTGGGGGACGTGGCTGGGCAGGGGATGTGGCCGGTGGGGGACGTGGTGTGGGTCTCACCTCGGGGATCCCGCCTCCGGACGCCGTGCTCTCTGAGGGCCAGAGACACCCCTCCTGCAGGTTGGAACGGGACACAGCGGTCAGCTGGGTGGGGCCCAGTGCCTGCCTCAACTCCAGACTCAGACCCACACAGCTGGTCCTCCCCCCCAGAGCCTCGGCTCCCCCCAGAGCCTCGGCCCCCCCCCCCAGAGCCTCAGCCCCCAGTGCCAAGATCATACCCTCAAGCCCCACAAGCCACCACCTGGCAGACACAGGGTGGTGGCAGGGGGTAGTGACAATGGACAGGGAAGAAGCCTGGCCCTACGCCTGGGGTGGGCCCGGACACCGAAGGCCTCTGGGTGGACCTTGCCTGTGGCTGGGCCTGGGAGGAGAGCCAGCGGAGATCTGAGGACCTATTTGGGGACCGAGAGGAGGACACGGGGTTTCCTCATCCCAGACCCCGGCTGAGCAGGGAGAGGTGGCTGGGACGCCGGGCAGCTTCTGGCAGCTTCTGCAGAACGACAGCCTTGTGTGGACAGGGAAGGAAGCGCCAAGCCTCGGCCCCCGCGGCACCGGGAGAGATGGTCAGCGACTCTGTCCACCTGGGATGCGTCCTCCCGACCTGGGATGTGGCCTCAGCCTCCACGTGTCCCCATGGTCCCAGCTTGAGGTGCCCTACTTCCCAACGCAGCTGGGTGGGGGGGGCCGAGTCAGGACTGACTTCAGCACCGTCTCCGCCCCTCCTGTGCACCCATCCCCAGTGCCCAGGGCAGGCGGGGTGGGGCGGGGCGGGGCGGAGTTGTGGCTCCACAAGGTGGAGTTTTCCTGAAAAGCAGCCACAGCTGGAAGCCATGTCAGGGGCTAGCCTGAGTGCACAGACAGGGCGCAGGTCTGGCGGCCACGTGGGGTCTCTCCAGAAGCCACTAGGTGCAGAGACTCCTCAGCTAAGGCTCGCGTGGGAAGGGACTCGCAGAGAGCCACTGTCCGGGTTGGTCCTCACTAGACGTGGTGTTTACCCGGCCAGGTGTCCCAGGTACCCTGCGATCAGCCCATCGGCAAAGGGGGGGGCTCTTGTTCAGCCCGCAGGTGCCCCAGAAATCAGGCATGGCCGAGCTGGGAGCGGCTGGCCGACCGTCTGCCCCCCACGCCCTCGAGGGCCAGCTCCACCTCCGGGCTTCCCTCTGCTCTTCCCACACTGGGTCCTCCCCACCAGCTCTGGGCTTGCGGCTTGGACAAGCTCTTGGCCTCGGGCTAGAGTCCCGCCTCCAGAAGCCCCGGCTTCTTCCCCGGCCGTGGCCAACCACAGCCAGGACACACGGATCAGTCCTCACGCAGCCGGCAGCGTCCGTCGTTGCTGGGTGACGGGGACAGCAAACAGCAGCCGGGGGCTCTGGGCCGGCAGCACGTGGACGTGTTGGGCGGAGGCCGCTGGCCCTCAAGATGCACGCTGGGCCTGGGTGGGGACTGACCACGTCCCTGCCACCGCTGCCAGAGCCGGAGCTCTTGTCCTGCCAGTGGGGTGACGCACCGAGGCCGGGCCCGATGCCGGCCTGACCTGCCAGGGGCGGCCCCGCCCACTCGGGCAGAGGCCAACACCCCTTGGCTCAGCGCAGAGATCCTGGGTGGCACTGCCAGCCCCAGGCGTTCCCGGGAACATGGCCAGCCCTGGCCCTGCCGTCCTGGCACCCAGTGGCCCCCAGCTTCGGGGACAGGCTGCTGCTCCTGTCACCCGGCCTGCCTAGACTTCGGTGGCTTCCAATCTCCCTCCGTGAAACACTGAACCCAGCTGCAGAGATGTGCATCTGTTCCAAACACTCAACAGCAAGACAGAGCCCCCTCAGCCGGCCCTGGGCCTCACAGATGGAGAAAGTTCTCAGCCACTGGATGCCCACCCCCCCCCATGCCAAGGCCCCAACATGTGGTCTCAAGGAGATAACGTGGGAATGCCCACATTCCGACACATCAAAACACACAACATGGGCACCAGGCACAGTGGCTCACACCTGTAATCCTAGCCACTCAAGAGGCTGAGATCTGGGGGATCACAGTTCAAAGACAGCCCCAGTAGGGAAGTCCATGAGACTCTAAGCTGCAGTTAACTACCACAAAACAGGAAGTCAGGCTGTGGCTCAAGTGGTAGAGTGCTAGCCTTGAGTGAAAAGTTCAGGGAGAATGCCCAGGGCCCGAGTTCAAGCCCCAGGACCAGAACAAGGACACACACACATATACCAGCACGTCCTGCCCACACAACGGTGGCTGCTGGGTACAGTGCTGCTGCCTGTAATCCTAGTGACTCAAGTTCTAGGCAAAAAGGTAGTGAGACCCTATCTCAATCAGTAGGCTGGCTGTGGCGGCCCCCAGCTCCCGAGGACCCTGGGCAGGAGGGCTGTGGCCTGCAGGTGGCCCTTGGCAGAGATGAGACCCTGTCTGAGAAATAACTAAGGCCAAAGAGGGGGCGGGGGCGGTGCAGGGGACATGACTCGACTGGCAGTGTCTGCCCAGCAAGTTCTAGGCTGAGTTCATCTCCAGGACCCGGGGACCAACAGGTGCTGGTGATGAGGGCTCTTGGCCCTGTGAAGATGGTTCCAGGCCAGCAGCATCAAATCTGCAGATGCTCCACCTCTGCTAGGAAACAGGACTCACCGGCCTGGAACCTGGGCCTTCTCGAGGGCCTGGCTTACAACCTGCACTGTTTAGGGAATGGCAAGGGACACATCTGCGTCTGGTGCAGATACACAACCTGCTTTGGAACACTTCTGAGCGGAGGCTGCGGAGGCTGAGCCTCCCAGGATGAGGAGGCCGGTGGCTGGGTCTCGGCCCTCTCCCGCAACCTGTCTGCATGGGAGCCTGGCCCGCTGGGGGCGGCCCCCATCTCTACCCTCTAGTCTTACTGCCTGTAGCCCCGGTCCAGCCCCGTCCCCTGGTCCCAGCCTGGTGCACAGGGGGCTCAGCAGATCTATCCAGCTGTCCACGAGCTTCCTGCCCCTCGGCCCCAGATCTCTGAAGTCCCCGGAACACCAGTCCCGTGGTGGCCAGCTGCAGCGGTCTCCCGCCTGCTGTTCCAGTCCCACCTGGGTCAGCCCTGGCTGGGCGATGCTGGCCCCTGCGACTCACTCCCCGCTCCCCGCTCCCCGCACAGCATATGTGCACCAAGGCCTTCCTGCTCGGAAGCCTCCTCCTTCCAGCCGTGAGGTCCGCAGTGCTGGCACAAGGTGGAGGCCACCTGGCACCTCAAAGCCGTCTGCCTGGCCCCAGGGTCTGCTCCAGACCGCGCCAGGCGGCTTCTCTTCTAGCCTTGGCTTTGGGCTCAGATGCGTACGGGGCCCGGCCACTCACCGAGGAAAGGCCGTCCTCTCTCCTCCTCTCCTGGCCGTGCCGGCTGATGAAGGAGCGGGCGGACAGCTTGTAGTGGCTCAGCAGGCACGTGATCACCACCACCATCACCATCATCACCACCACGATCACCAGGATCTGCACGAACTCCAGCTCGGCTGTGGAGACAGGGTACACGTGAGGCTCGGGTGGAGGCTGCAGCTCAGGCCCCGCCCCCACCCCTGCAGGACTGCAGCTCATCACCCCTGCCCCCACCCCTGCAGGACTGCAGCTCACCCCCCCAACCGTCCCCCATGGACTAGGGAGGTCATGAGGGTGCAGGGGGAGGTTCACGCCGTCTCCCGTGAGCAGCAGAGGGCACGCCGGGCCAGGGCCCCAGCAGGGAAAGACTGCGTGGAGACCATGGAACAGGCCCTGGGTACCTGGCCGGGCAGGGGCAGCGAGAAGAGCCCACGGGCCAAGGGTGTGGAAGGAAGCCGGAGCCAGGTACCGTGAAACCAGGAACATAGGTACAGGGTTGTGTGCATGTGTGTGTGCGTGTGCACAACCAGAGCACGCCTCCACACTCTCACACCCAACACAACTGCATCCCACCAAAGACGCCTAGAAACCCCAATACTCTGACAGACAGCACTCAACCTAGCCCCACGGAGACACACCTTGAAACTCCTGTACCTTAACAGACAACACCCAGATACCCCTCCACCTCCACCACCAACACCCTGATATCCTATACCCCAACAGGCAACACCCCAACTTCCTACACCCCACCGAACACCAGCTCAACCTCCGACACAGACACCGCCCTGACAGTGCCACCTCAACACCAAGGGCACACCCCCCAGCGAACGCCAGCTCCCAGGGGGACGCGGCTGCCCACCTGCTCGGGCGCTCAGCCCTCGGGGGCAGCGCTGCTCGGGAGGAAAGCCTCCTGGGCGGGAAGGGAAGAGGCTGTGCTGGTCCTGCGCAGGGAGGTGGCTCTGTGGACGCAGGCCAGCCGGGGCCTCCACCGCTGGTGGCAGCCACCGGCAAGGTGCGGGGTCTTCAGAGGGGGCGCACACAGTGGACAGAAGGCTCCCTGGTGCCCTTCCTCCTCCCACCGCCCTGCCCCCGGGCACTAAGCAATTAGCTGAGGGAGGGATCCCAGAGACACAGGTTCAAATCCCAGGCCACTGCCAGCCTCCTGCGGGCCCGGGCCTGGCCCCAGCCATCAGCCTGGGAGGCCAACCTCCTCCGGCCACCAGCGTGGTTTTCTCCGAAGCTTTGACTAGACCGATGTGCCCCGGGTGTGCCGGTGAGTGGCGGCTTCCCCCCAGGCAAGTCCCTGCCAGCCTCCAGCGCCCGCCGGCCCTCACCCCTTCTCCACCACACACGGCACAGAAGCGCCATCAAGTCAGAGCTGCTCCTCCCAGGACGTCACCTCCGGTGAGGTCTGCCTGAGGCCCCTGTCGCTGCCTGTGGGACACTCACACTCCCAAGGGAACGACAGAGCCCAGGTCACGCAAAGGCCAGGCCTGGGACCACTCCCCTGTGGCCATACCTCCTGTCTCCCCGGGCCAGGCCCGTCCAGAGCCCCGGGCGGCCCAGCCCGATTGTGTAAGGCCCAAGTCTGTCTGCTGGGGCCTGGGACAAAGCTGGGCATTCAGGGGACACACAGGGCTGGCTTTGTGCAACACCCACGCCCACCCCAGGCCCTGTAATCCCCTCCCCTCCACCCTCTGCGCTGTGCCCAGTCTGGGAGCCCCCCTTGGGCCGCCTGTCTCCAGGGCCTCTGCCCAGGCCAGGAGGGAGGGAAAGAGGGAGGGAGGGAGGGAGGGAGGGAGGCATGGGTGGCCTTTGTTCGTGGCCACCACAGGACTTGGTCAGGCCACGGGGGGGGGCTGCAGGCTGGCTGGCGAGCGGGGGAGCTGCGAGCTCAGTAAGCAGGAACAAGCCACCAGCCCCTCGAAGCAAGGACCCACAGGTTCACGTGAGGACAGAGGAAGGGACAGCTCCACAAAGACACCGCGATTGGCCAGACAGCCGGAGGCCTGGGCCAGGTGTGGAGGTGGGAGGGGGTGTAAGGCGTCCCGAGACACCTAAGGGGCAGCGGGGCAGCAGGAGAGGGTGGGTCCCCAGCCTGGTCCCCGGGGACCCTTCTCCCCACCAAGATGGAGCCCGGAGGTGGGCACAGGCCAGAGGGGACCTGCTGCTGAAGGAGTGGAGGGAGGCGGAGGGCACCGTGAAAACAGGCAGGGGGGTGGGGAGGAGGGCACAGTGGGAGCAGGGGGG